AAGAAGCCGGATATAATTTTCTTCCCCTTCTGCTCACGTCTGGTAACCGTGAGTCGTGAACGGTACGAAACCCGACCTGTCAGAAAAAAAAGCTTTTTCTCGGGCAATTTTTTTCTGCAAATGCCTAGGAACTTGACAGTTCGAAGTTTCTCCACAAAAAAAAAAAAAATATTTTTTGAATCGGAGGATTCAAAAAAGGTTTCTTTCAGAGATTTCCCACAGTCCGACAGCAAGGTTGGATATTTTAGTTTAACTTCAAGCCTCCAAAGATCAGTTTCGAATTATTTTTTTTTTACATTTAAATTTTGGTTCTAGATGCCATGTTGAGTGCCTAGAGAATGACCGAATTTACTCAAAGAGTTTGAGAAAGGATAATTTAGCTCGAGCGGGACAGGTTAATGTAATGGGTGACAGGACGACGACGGTGACGACTGGTGACAGATGAAATACGTTGTTCGAAGGACTGGAAACGACGATGAATTAAAATTTGAGTTAAATTACATGCAAAATACAAAATCACAGGCTGGCAACGAAGATTTGACTGACGAAAGGGAGCGTTGCAAAGACCTCACGGTCCACGAGAGGGTTCCGACCGGATCAGAAGGGTCAGAGCAGGGCGAGTGGAAGGGCTCGCGGGTGGTAGCACTCGTGGCAGACTGATGGGCCATGAGGCAGACCAATGGGCGGCGAGGCAGACTGATGGGCGGCGAGGCAGACTGAGGGACGGAGCGCGTGGGACATGCCATAGGGGTTGACATGCACCAGATCCGTTTAACCTCAATCTGGTTTCATTATGGGGGTTTATGGGAACAAGATTATCTCCGTCAAACGGATTCCCAAAGATAACCATTGTGAGATCGGGTCGGTTCGAGTTAAACAGATCCGGCGCATGTCACCCGGTGACACACGGGCGGAAGGCGGGACGGCGTGACGGCGTGACCGAAAGCCCCGCTCGACCTCCACAGCCGTGCGCTTAACATTTTCCAAAATGTGACGTTGAGGGTAACGTGGGAATATTGCGGCTGCAGGTGGAGGAGATTCGGGAGAAGATAGAGAAGATGCATGCGAACGTGGAGGCTGTGAAGATGAAGCACAGCGCCATCCTCTCCGCTCCCACCACGGACGAAAGTGAGTCTGGCAGGAAATTGATACAAGCGTCTTTTCTTTTTAGGGGAAAAAATGGTAAGTTGGTAAACGGGAGGATATATTGATGGGGATTAGTAGGCGATTAAGCCGGATGAAGGATGAGCCGCGAAAGAATGAATTCTCGCCATGGGATCATCGACGATCGTTGAAAATTAAAAAATTTAATTTTTAATCCGGGGGTTGTTAGGGGAATGAAAGAAGTTTGCGAAGGATTAAGCGATGTTAATTAGTTAATCCTGGAGTTCTCTGGAGATCAAAGTAATCCGCAATGCAATTTTGGAACTAAATAAGTAACGGAGAGAATGCTGTCGCATGCGGCGCAAACGTGGCGCGAAGAGATAGTAAAAGGAGTGTCACCGAGGAGATGCCGTCGATTGCAAAGGAGTGTCACCGAGGATATTGCATCGACTGAGGAGGACAGGGGGCTGATCTGGTGGGCATTTTCGGCGATCTTTCTCATCGCGAATGCGATGAGCTGCTCGATTGAGTAATTCCATGAATTAATTGAGTGAATATGAATGGAGTGAATTGACCTCCCGGCCTGCGCACATTTCATGATTCCCTTTTCGGGGAATTCTGAGGGAATTTCGAATGTTCACAAAAAAAAAAGTTTTCTCCCTTATTCCGTGCCAATCACGAGTGCAAATATTTTTTTTTTTGGCACCACCTGCGATCTCACGTTGAAATGAACGATCATTTCCAGGGATGAAGCAGGAGCTGGAGGATCTCATGGACGACATCAAGCGGACCGCCTACAAAGTGCGGGCCAAGCTGAGAGGCGAGTTCCTCCGCCGCGGATCGCGGAAGTTCGCCTTCGCGGAGGCGTTTCTTGGCAGTTGTTTTTTTTTACCCGATATTTTCTTCTGGTATTGACGTCAATTTTTTTGAAAATTTTTTAAAAAGGGTTGGGAAACATAGAATGTGGGACATTTTAATATTTTATTTAATAATGATTGGATTTATGATATTAACCACATCAAATAATTTAAAAGACCACGACATGGACATGACATGGTCACGACATGGTTATGAGACTCGCCCTATCCTGTGATCTTTGGGCCTCAAAAAGACTTAGCCCATTTATTTCTGCAGAAGACTATCAACATTTCATGACTTATGATTTGAATATGCGATAATCACGGGATGATCCCGACGAACCCACCTAGAGATGGAGCAGACCATCGAGCAGGAGGAGATCGCCAAGAGCACGTCGGCGGACGTGCGGATCCGGAAGACGCAGCACTCGACGCTCTCGCGGCGGTTCGTGGAGGTGATGCGGGAGTACAACCGGACCCAGACGGACTACCGCGAGCGATGTAAAAACCGCATCACGCGCCAGTTCGAGATCAGTCAGTGGGCCTCTTCGGCGTCGGTGGGCCTCCTCGTTGCGGCCTTACCGGACGGGTCGTTTCTCTTGCAGCCGGGAATGCCGTCGATGACGTCCAGGTGAACAGTATGCTGGATGCTGGGAATGCCGAGGTCTTCACGAAGGGAGTGAGTTCTTTTGAGGTCATTGAGTAATTACCCGATCGTCATTGAGTAATTACCCGATCGTCATTGAGTAATTACCCGATCGTCATTGAGTAATTACCCGATCGTCATTGAGTAATTACCCGATCTCGTTGCAGATCGTCATGGACGCCCAGCAGATGAAGCGGACGCTGGCCGACATCGAGGCGCGGCACGCCGACATACTCAAGCTGGAGGCCGCCATCAAGGAGCTCCACGACATGTTCCTGGACATGGCCATGCTTGTCGAGATCCAGGTCGGTCTCCGCATTTCGCCCTGAAAAAAAAACGAGACATGGAAGCGAATGCCAGCGCATGCGAGTGTAACTCGATGTGAAATTGGAAATGTTCTGATAACTTTGAAAATTGTTGGAACATAATTACACGTCCCTTATGTTCCTGACAACGTTTTTGACGTGTCGCGCCGTCGATAAGGTACAATTCCAAATAGTAAGAGGAAGAAGCATCGTCTCCAGCTGAAAAGTGTCGGCAATGTCACGGATCGCGTAACTCCCATGAATCGGTGCGAAAATTTGCGAAAATTTGCAGGTTGCAAAATGTCAAGCCTGAAGTATTTAGCGAGTGGAATTTTGCACAAAATAGGATAATTGATGCAAATATCAATTATCCCAATAATGGGGGATAATTGATACTTTGCTCAGTCCAACCTGAAACGCTTAACATTTCGAGTCAAACTCAAGTTTTTTAGTTCCGCGTTAAACTGAAACATTGGTAACTTGGTACCATTATTGGTAACATTGGTAATATTGCTTATCTCGACGCTCCTCGCCCGGGTCGCCATTTGGTCTCAGACCAAAAAAATGGCGGCCCTGCTCCTGGTGGGTCCGCATCTCGGAACGCCGCCTGGTCCTTCACCGGACCAAATGAGGACGCCGTGCATGAAGGACAGAGATGTGGTACAGGGTGATTCAAAAGTCACTTACTTTTTTTTCTGTGTGCCGTGCGTGGTATCAATCGATTTGTCTGCTCCTCCCGAGCAGCTTGATCTAATATTGGCGTGAGGCGAAAGATGCTTCCGAAAAAAGACCGAAAAAGAGTCGTAATTAGTTCAAAATTTCTTGTCTCTTTGGTCACTCCACACCAAATCGACCACAGCCGAACCATCTTCGATTTCGACACAAATCGGTGTGCATGTAGAGGAATTTATTATAATAAAATAAATTCAAGTTTTTTTTATATATCTCGAGATATATGCAGTTGAATGTCCCCCATTTTTGGCCAATTTTGCCATAACTTCCCTTTATATGAAAGCTTCGTCATGGCGGCATTTTAATTGTGAAACTGCCGTTTCTAGATTGTTCTTAGACATTTCTCTCTTAAGCTAAAACTTCCACTTAATCAAACAGTTTTTGATTAGTTTCAGTGGCTGATATCTACGTTTGTATTTTGGAACTCGAGGTTCCAAAACTTGATTCCAAGTGCATCCATCCCCTTTCTAACATCCATTTCTTATTTTGTTCTTAGTGCTTTCTTTCTGAAATGGCTTCAAATTTTTTTTTTTGCTTTCTTTCTGAAATGGCTTCAAATTTTTTTTTTGCTTTCTTTCTGAAATGGCTTCAAATTTTTTTTTTGCTTTCTTTCTGAAATGGCTTCACATTTTTTTTTGTTGCTTTCTTTCTGAAATGGCTTCAAATGTTTTTTTTTTTGCTTTCTTTTCCTCGTTCGTGCCTCCTCCCGCCGCGAACTGCAGGGGGAGATGGTGGACCGGATCGAATGGCACGTCTCCCAGGCCGCCGACTACGTGGGCGTGGCCGAGGCGTTCATCAAGAAGGCCGTCAAGTACCAGAACAAGAAACGGCAGGTGCGTCTCGCCTGCCTATACGGGATTTGCCGTTGCAATCGGTTTCGTGACTGTTCTTCATCGGACTCTCCCTATGGCCATGCTCGCATTCATTGCCAATTGAATCCTTCCTTGCTTTTGGCATCGGGCCAGTATCTTCAAAATGTGCATCATGCACATGTTATTTTTAATTATTAATCATAATTAATTTGAATTTGAAAATCTTACACAATTATTAATTTGAATCAATCATGAAATCATGACGCAGAAAATATTCTGAGCTCTCAGACAAGATTTCTTTTCTCCCGACTTCTTAGCTTTCGACTATGCAGTTCTTCAGATGTCGATCTCGCGGAAGTTTTTACCCGATTGGAGGTTTGGTGGGTCACTCGAAACCTCCGGGTATGTGCTCGTAGTTGACCAGTTCCCCGGCAGATGGCAGAGGCTGTCGAGTCGACTTAAATGACCGAAGAGGCCCATGCCAGAATATAGATTAAAATGTATATATATATTTGATAATGTAAATATATATTTGAGAATGTATATATATATATTTGATAATGTATTTACATATTTGATAATGTAAATATATATTTGATAATGTATTTACATATTTGATCATTTAAATAATACATGTTATGAGACACGTGCCAGTCAAAGGGTCAAATGCATCCAATAAGTTTGTTGAGTTCCCAATAATTTAATGGGAGATAATAACAATTCATATTTTGACAATTATTAAGTCTTAGAGCCAACATGCATCCGCGTCCTCGCTTCCCACCTCCCTGTTGCAGAAGAAGGTGATGCTCGCCATCTGCCTCCTGCTGGTCCTGGTGATCGTGGTCCTCGTGATAAGCCTGTCGGTGTAGGGAGGAGGCTTTTCCGGCCGTGTGAGCGAGCTGCTTCTCCCCTTTTCGGGCCGTGTGAACGAGCTGCATCTCTTCCCCCCCCCCCCGGCATTTTTTATTTTATTTAAATGCCGTCGGGTTTTATGCGATGTGGGCTGCAACGGTCCCGAAAATCCGATGAAAAATATTTATTAATAAAGAGAGAGAGAGAGGGAGAGAGAGAGAGATGTTGATTTTTTATTGTTACATATATATTTAATTATCTATATATTTCTCTCTGCGCAGATACGGACTGCATCAAGTGGTTCTGGAACCATTTCCCCCCATTTTCCCCCTCCCTTTTCCCTCGGAAACTCTTTCCCCCCAAGATTCACTCATTCATTTCCATGATGGTTGAGTTGCTGAAGCAAAAACCCGTGCAGCTAGAGTGCTGCATGGGCTTTTGCAACTTCGCTCCGCAAGTTGAAGGAGATTTTTATTTATCTATTTATTTTTTTGGATGCGAAAAATAGTGCCCGGTTTTCTCCGATAGATTATTAGATTGCTACATAATTCCAACAATGAATCTTAAACATTCAAATTCACCTTACATTGTACCTGGTGGTTGTTTCTTTTTTTTGGAAGCTGCTCTGAACTAAATAACCAGCATTAAAAAAATTTTTTTTTCTACAAAATTTTTAGAATTGTTTGCTGAGGTTTTTTTTTTTAAATAAAATATGAATTTTCTCTGGGAAGAATTATGCATGCTGGTGTACGTCCAACGTTGCTTTTGCATTAGCTTGGGCCTGTGCTTTTTATTGTAACATGGTAGCACATATTAAAAACCGATCCCTGTGTCGGTCGAGGTCGATACGGTTATTCATTATTCTCGGTTGCGGGGCAACTGCGTCCCTCGGCTTCGCTCAAGCAGCAGGAGGCGAGAGAACGGCTTCGTTTCGATGGTGTGCGTGTTAGAGCGGCGGGGACGGGGCGTGTTCATCTTTTTTTTGCCCGGCTTTCGCTTATCTCAGGCTTTTCTTCTAGTCTTTCTTCTCTCGCCCTGCTCTGCTTCTAAAGATGATGATGGAGATCATGATTTTCTTGATCATGAATATTATTATCTTGATCATGATCATGAAAATAATTATCTTGATCATGAAAATAGGGATTATCGTGATCATGAAAATCATGATGATCATGATGACGATGATGATTTTTGATAATCAGGCCTTCCTCGCGCTTTTTAACGTGCGCTAATCATCTGTTCTTGGTACATCCCATTGCATTGAATATTTTATAAAATCCAAAAGAAATTCTCAGAGCAGAAAGAACCAGCCTTTTTTTCATTCACTGGATATTTTCAACAGTCTCCCGGACTGGGAAACTCGATTGTCAGCGGGACGGCTCCTGCGGAATTTGTTATTTCGCATTTTGCAATTGGTCATGTGCCTCGATGCCAAAATGTGCAGGATATAAAAAAAAAAAACACTTTGAATTTAAAGAAATTTAATTATAATTTTTAGCTTCAGTTCCACTTGGATAAACTCTCGAATGAATGCCCCGGAACATTTTGCTTAATGAAGTATTGTTTCATGAAGTTTTTCTTGGTAAGGTCTTAATAAATTAAGCATTGTTTATTCTGTCGCTTTAAATTACGTGCAAATTAAACTGATATAATAAATAATATAATTAATATAAATTAGTTATTACAATTGGTGACATGCAATTGACCCTTATTTTATCGTAACGGTTTTGTTAACATATTGTTCCCGTTAACGTATTAACTTTTCGGTTCGTATTATCAATAAATATATAAATATATATAAATAAATAAATATCGTCCTGATCGAATGACTTTTCATCGGTTGCATTCACTTTACTGAATTGGCATGCGCTGGAAGGGAAATGATCGAATTAATACGGTGAAACGACTGGAATGAAAATGAAATTGAATAAGTGTATCGTAATGAGTTGAAATGCTAATGATATGTTATTTCTGGATCCAAATTTATCGGATTGAAATAATGGACTTCCATTATATTTTAGGTATTGCAATTTATTCAGATCTACTTATTCCATTTCATTTTCTTTAATATATTTTCCGAGTTGAAGGAATTGAATCGACAGAACTGAATTGATAGAATTGAATTGATAGAATTGAATTGATAGAATTGAATTGATAGAATTGAATTGATAGTATTGAATCGAAGGAAATCCGTTCTGAATACATAAAGTCATGATTCCTACTTAAGTTTGCGTCTATCTGTCAGGGCTATGAAGAAAATACATTTCATATTTAATACAATGAAATATTACATTATGTTTTAAAAAAATTTTAAGTTAATTGGATTAAATGGATGCGAAATACCTGATGTCTCTCGCCAGTGATGCTAGAACCGAGCTGCCTGTGACACCGACACGGCCAGGTGGTGCCGAGCCAGTGCAGCTTCACGGAGAGGGCGAGGAAAAGGAGCAGAGGGAGGAGAAGGTCCCGGCTGGGGCACCTCCGAGGGGGGGGGGGGGGGGGGGGGGCACCTCCGAAGGGGTGGAGGTACCCCCCCCTCATGGGTCATGAGGCCTTTGTCTTCCGCAGCGGTTGTGCGGCGTCCTCTGGGTATCGTGGTAAGGCAGGGTTGCTGGATGGGAGGAGCAGGGTTGCCAAGTGTGCAAAATTTCTCGTTGAAACCTTGGGGATGTCAATTTTTGCTTGCTTGGAAGAATCTCAAACTCGAGCCGCGACGGTGGGGAATCGACTCGCTGGAGAGTGAATTGCATTCTGCAATTTCTCCTTCCTACAAATCCCGCTATTGAGCATCCCTGCATGATTAATCCCAGTATAGGCGCTGGATTCAGCTCTGGCGCATCCGTGAATCCGACCTGAGGTCGACGAATGATGCGATCGATTGCGTCCGAAGACCCCTTATCGGCCTTGGGTCGCTAATTAGGCCAATTTGCACACTGGTCGACAGCAATCCGATTACGTAATCGGATTGGGATCAATTACGGCTTCTCACGCATTCGTCTTCGTCTTAATGGGAACAATCAATGGGATTGCAGAAATTCACAAGATAAGTTCAATCTCCATTGCGATGCCGCCACAATCGACCCACGACGGCGATTGTCACGTGTGACACCGTGATCTTTTCGCAGTCGGCATTGAGAGAATCAAGAGGAAATTGCCTCAAATACCTCTGGACGCACTGAGAAGCAGACCTCGAGTTCCTTGGGGCATCGCAGACGCGGAGAGCGAACCTCCCGCGTCAGCTGCAAGGCGTGGACTGCCTCGGCCGAAGGCGTTTCGCTATGCGTCGGCTTTGGGCGCATGCGATTGGTCGATTGCGGTTGGGGGGATCTCCAGTCGATTGTGATTGGTCGGTTTGTGTGTATTCTCTTCCCTCGACAGAGACACCGGGCGGACTCCCGAGATGAACCACCCAGATGGATGTCGTCCTCCGTCCGGAATGTTTCAATTGAAATTTCAAGTTTAAGCTTCGAATTTGAAGTGAGTTCTTCTCCGGCTGTTTACCGCAACCAACTCACATGCATTTGATAATTTTTTCAATCGGTTTTCAAAAGTCACCGGCCAGGAAATAGCTGACCTCGGCGAGAGTCGAGGTCAATGCTGTCGAATTTCATTCATTCGTTCGTTCGGTGATGATTTCTATTGCAGGTGTCCTGTCTCCGCTCTCATGTGGCACCGAATGCTATCATCCTTTTGAAGAAAAAAAAATTTAAGCGAAATAAAATAATGGTTAAGTTGGGTGGTTAGCCCAAACGAGGAACAATGTTGCAGAATCCGATTTAAGTCTCATCTCCATTCAAGGAACCTCTGGAAGGCCTCGTTGAGCACTCCGCTATCTAGCGTACTCTTCGAAACTGCATAGTTACTCTTTCGCCCGGGAGATGTCGGGGTTCCTGCGCGGATCGGTGTCCCGCATGGAGGGTCCCACAGCCGCGGTCTCGTGTCCCCGCGGCCCACCAGATGGCCCCGCAGTGCAGTGCATAATGGCTCTGGTGTGCAGTCGATCGATCCCGTGAAAAATTTTCTCCAATTTTCGTTTCCCTCCCCCCCAGTTTCGACCGTCAACTGTGAGAAACATGAAGAAGGAGCCGTTATTATAGCGATTGCATGTGGGCTCCCGAGTGGCGGAACCCGTCTTGCTTGCCTAGCCTAGGAGCTCGTGGTTCAAGATGACCAAAGACAGATTATCGGCGCTCAGAGCGGTAAGAAATTTCCACTCCGAATTTCCTTCGATCCTTCTGAGAACGTTTCTGAACCTCGAAATTAAGGTTTGCGGTGCAGAAGAATCAAGTTCCTGGACTTGGGTCCGGTCTCATCTCTCGAATGGAAGTTTCGAGGCCATTTGAAGGCTGACAGGCCTTGGCCTAAAAGTTACTTCAATGATGATTTGGAAATGAATTTTTACCAACTTCAATATTCATGGCTCATTCAAGCAGATGAGACTGAGAGGCCGATGCTCGATCCCGCGAAATGAACTCGAAGAGACGAGATGGCTGAATTTCTTGGTTTATATTGCTGGGATTAGATGACTCATAGCTGGCATTGAGACTCTTTCCCATTGAAACTTGATGAACTAGGTGCAGCCTGTCTCAGTAGAAGTTAGTTCACAAGTTCTATCTGCACTTGCGAAGTTGCAGCTTTGTGTCTTTTCTTGTCCGCTCCTTGGCAATCCAGGCCGATGTTGCGCCTGGATTCTTCCAAGGCATTTGTCATGTGGCCTCGGTCGGCTTAGGTGGTGACATGACGGAGACACACCTTTTTGCCCGTGCTGAAACAGAAGTTCATTTATATAGTTCTGAGGGAGTTCCCTGTTTTTCCTAGAAACAATTTATATTCATTTATCACTTTGGTAATTGGGTATATGATAGTATTTCAGATGCCACAGAAATGATGTTTATGAAATATTTCGGCCTAGCCTACTGCACCAATTTAAGCAGCATTGATTGGAAAATATGTTTGAAAAACATAATCGCCAATCAACAAACTGAATGCTAAGAAATGCCTAAGACGCAGCCTGCCA